ATTGGGTCCCGTTCCCAAGGCAGCTCATTATATATCCATGGATGCAAGGGTTCCCAAGTCTGAGACACTTCTGCTCCCAAGCATCTTGAGTCAGAGAGGCCCTACCTGCAGCAGCTCACCTGTTCTAGAATAGCCTGGCCCAGTGGCTTTATTTCTTGCTGATGTTTGTCTCAGTCAACCTCTCGGTAAGCTGCAATCCTGGCTTCTCCCTACGGTGCTCCCACAAGTGCGCTTATTCAGGCCAGCAGGAGACACGGCTGACTCAGCACCAAACCAAGCAGGAGTCATCTAGTGTTGTATTGGATTTGAACCAGACACCTGCCATTTAGACCTCATCAGGAGTTTTGGTACTTCTTTAGATTTTTTTTCTTTATTTGGGACATAGGGACAGATACACAGAAATCTCCTATCTGCTGGGCCAGGTTTCACTGCATTGAAGCCAGGAGCCAGGACCTCCATCCAGGTTTCCTGCACTGACAAAAGGGACCCGGGCTTGCACAGAGCTCTGCCTCCCGAGGTGAGCAGCGGAATCAGGAGTTGGGACCACGCAGTAAGCTAAGGGTACTCCGACGTTGGACGAGAACATCTAAGCTATTAGGCCGAACACCTGCCCCTCTAAGATATTTCTGGAGAGATTTGTTTTTGGTACTAAAAGGCAGAGTGACATATAGAGAGGAAAAGATAGAACCTTCTGCTGGTTTACTCCCCCAGTGCCTGGGCCATCTTCCGCTGTATTCCCAGACGTGTTCGCTGGAATTGGAGCTGGACTGGAAGCAGAGCAACCAGGATTGGAACTGGAGCGTAGACATTACAAGTGTCATAATGCTGACCCCAGTGGCTTAAAATGAGAGTTGCTATAAGTCAGAGTGAGGAACAGCCTAGAGATTGCACCTGGCATTGAACAGCGGCAGGAAAGAAACTTGCGTGCTTAGAATTATGAGTCCACTGTTGCCGTCAAGTGGCTGTTTGTCCTGAAGTTGAATTGCCCTCCCTGTCTACACCCAGAAACTTGGGTGGAGGATCAGCTCTCAGTACCTCGTAAGCACCTGCCACGTTCACCGTTCTGGACGGTGATCAGTAATGGGAAGCGCCTGGTGGTGTGTCATCCAGCCTGGCAGATATTAGTCCTAGAGGAAAAATAAGTCATGAAGTGCCTAGAGTGCTGCTAATTTCCAGAGAAGCAGTTCTGGGCCTGTCACACTCCACACTAGAACACCCAGGTCATGAGTCTCAGGGAGAGGATGGGTTCAGGGGCCTGGTAAGGGAGGGTCATAGCTGTGGTTATCCCGCATGCTGCCCAACTCCAACAGCATACCCCCTGGGTGGTATGGGACCCCCTTACCTGTTATCACCTGTAGAACATTTGGGAAAAGCAAAGCATGAGGCGGCTCCAAAGGAGCCAAAGGAAGCCTAGGTTTTGGCAGCAACTCAACCTAAAGTCAAGGGAAGCGTTAGCTCGTGGCTGGAGGAGGTGGGATCAGAGTCAACAAGTTTGGTATAACCCTAGACAGCCGGCTGCACCTCGATGTGCAGTGTGATGGTCTGACATCACCAAGAACCAGGTCCCTGGCAGCTTGTAAGAGTGAGACACGGTAGGCTCGGGCCACGCCCTGTGAGGGACGCATTGTCTGTGGATTTTGATGGGCTGCCCTTCGCTAAGTCACCCCAGAACTCTTCCCTGTGCAGCTGCTTCTTCATCTGCAGCAGGCAGGGCTTCTTCTGACTCAGTGAGTGTGTGTTTATGTGCAGCCCACTGCCCGGGGGTGCAGGGATGCCACCTCCACAGTGCACAGCCTGACAGACCCTGGAACTTCTCTTTTAGGTATTTTTGCTTTCTTCTGGTTCATCCTAGCACTTGCCTCCTCCCAGGTGCTCTGATCACTGCGCTTCCTCCCAGATCATCTATCTTCTCTGGTAGCTGCCAGCCACTGTGACTACTTATATCTGAATTCACTGAAACTTAAGGGGCCTGGCATAGCTGGTAAAGCCAATACCCATGATGTTGGCATCTTAACAGCAGAAGAAAGCCCAAGTGCCTGGGCTCCTCCACCCATGTGGGAGACCTGGATGAAGCACGTGGTCCCCGACCTTGGCCAACCCTGGTCACTGCAGCCATTTGGAGAATGAGCCAACAGCTAGACATCTCCCTCTTTCTATTCTCATCTCTTCCTTCTACTCCGCTCATGTTCTCTCTCTTACTCTCCCCCCTGTCCTGTCTCCACCAGCAGAGAGAACTGTTGGTGAGCAAATGAAGTTGAAACTTTACAATGAATGTGTGTTCAACTTTGTACCTGAGCGTTGCTCATCATGAAAAACAAACCAGAGCAAGATCCTTATGAGCCTGTTAGAAAGCATCAGTCCCTGGGCAGTCCACTCTTGGCTGGCTGGTGGTGACCCCTCTGGTCTAGGGAGGGTCCAGGCATGGCAATGCAGGCTCTGGATGCGGCCAGCCGTGGAGATCGCAGTCTCACCTAAGTGCGTGTGTCCAGGCCATGCATCCTGTTGCTTTGTTTCTCAGGAACTTGAGCTGGTCTGACATGACTGAAAACACTCAGTGTTTTCTCTCCTCCTTCAGTCCTCAAGCTGTGGTTCCTCTCAGCAGAACCGGAATCACAGTTCAATGTGTAGCGCTTCAGGGCACAGACTCGGCACCTCGCACACTGCGGTGCTCAGCTGTGCCTGACCCAGTCCTGTGCTCCACGGCTGAGCCCTGATGCCCTGGTGTCTTCAGGCTCTGTGCCCCCCCCCCAGGTCCGTCACCTGTAAGCTGCAGCCATGTGCATGAGGAGCTTCCCAGGTGCAGAAGCCACCGCCCCATCCCCACAGGGCACCTGCTGTCGGCCCTGTGCTGAAACACCAAGGCACAGACCTCAGTGGCTGCTCAGGACCCATACGCTCTGTTTCCTGAGTAGAAACCTCCAGAAAAACATCAACAGCAGCTTTCATGACTTCTTGTGTGAGAGGCCAGGAGAGACAGTCCCCAGCGGCTCTCACCTGGGGACTGGGACAGATGCTGACACGACTTCTGGGAGTCTATCAATGCCAGTGTCTGCATTTGCAACACGCCGCATGCTGTCACCTCCCCCTGTGCAGAGGGAGGGGCCCTTACAGGTGTGCCAAGGACGGCTACTGGCTGAGCCGGGATGCACTGTTGCAAGGGAAAGCTGTGGATCCAGGCTTCATCTCTCCCCTAGGCTGGCTCTGAATGCAACTGCTCCGACAAGACGAGCCTGGACGGGACGCCCCCTCCCCTGTAGATGCCAGCCCTCAGGTTCTCAGGTGGGCTTTGCCTGAGGGTCACCGCTGTACATTTCACGAGTGTAGGTTTCCCCAAAGCGGATCCAGAGATGCCATGAGGATAGAGGGGGGTCTATCCAGGAGGTGTCGTGGCTTCTCTGCAGGCGAGCAGTGGTGTGTGGAAGGGACCAGCGATGTGGCACTGCAGGTAAACATCATCTGTGTGCCTTGGAGCCACCTCTCACCTGGAGGGGGAACACAGAAGCCAGAGAACCCTCAGCCTCCAGCTTAAACAGAAAAGGCAACCACGGAAGAAACAGCAGTGCCGCTGCTTGGGGTGAAGCTGAGCTAATTTACGTGGTGGTAATTAATAACTGGTTCTTGGGGACTTCCTGTCTGCACTCCCTCAGCTCTGCTTCATACATAGAGCATCTGCGTGAGCCCACAAGCTCAGGAAAAAGAAAATCAACAACCCTAGCCTCACGGACCCAAAAGGAGAGAGGAGGAGGCGTGGGGCACATTAGAATGTCTTCCCAACAGAACTCAGGTTTCTAATGCCACGAGGCATGTTTGTTTCTCGAGTCATCTCTGAGCTGTACCCTCTTCTACCCCTTAGCTAGGTGTGTCTGTTGTTTGCTTTGAGGGAGCAACGCAGCAGCTCTCACACCTGCCATAAAGTCTAGCAGCATCCCATAGCATGGGGAGGGGGCTGGGAGAGTGTGTCCCGCACGTGGGGAGAGGGGGTGTGCTCCACCCCCTCACACACTGAACTTCCCAGCACCGAAGCTCCTGGCATCCATGCGCCTCGGTGGTCTTCACCATCTGCCAGGGGGTACCCGCACAGTGGAAATGACCATCTCTTCTGGAGGTAGGGAGCCAAGGTTGAGCCTACAGGAGCTGTCTACCCCATCAGCAGAGGCCATGCAGTTGAAGCATTCGTTTTTCTCCACACTGAAAATCCCTGAAGCCAATTCGCAGGTTCCTTCTCTCTCTTGGTTTCGTCTGGCCCCTAGAATGCCCACAGCAGTTCCAGGCACCACACCTGAGGGCAGGGGGGAGGCCTGAGCCATCCTTGCAAGGCCCGGATCAGATCAGAAATGCACACTCCTTCCCAGACACACTCCACCCCCAGCAGCCAAAGCTGTGGCCAGGTATGGGTCAGCGTGTCCGACACGAAAGGGCAAATCAGATCATGTTCCCATCCACCTCATGACCCCCAAGGCATACGAGTCCCACTTGGCAATTGAGTGCTCACACACACAGGCCTGTTCTGTGGAAAGTTGTTGGACCCCTAGTATAAGTTCTGCTGATTCCAGCAATGGCCACGGGGAGGATCATCAGGAAGTGACCACATGGTGTCCAACAAGCTGAGTGAGTCCCGAGGACCCTGTCAGTGAGTTAGTGACCTTGAAATTGCAGCCCCTTTCTTGTTAACAGGCGGTTCGGATTCAACAAGGTAAGTACGTACATGTGCTAGGAAATTCAGCAGAATTCCAACGAAAAGCAGAGGGCTTCTCAGGCTGACAAGGGACACTGGAAATGGGACCACCCCGTCTCTAACGCGGGTGGCCAGCTGGCCCTTGGCTGTTCCTGAGAACCAGAAAGGGACTGTAAACTTGCCCCACAACCACCTGTTCTTAGCAGTGACACCATTCCAGGCCTTCTCTCCTGGGGTGGTTCTTGTCTCCCTGGAATCTGTTTAAAGTTGCACAGGAGGCACTTGCTCTTGCTCACCTTGGCTTCCTTGTTCTCCAACCCTGCAGACCAACAAAGCCATGGCCAAGGGCGACTTCCACCAGGCCAGCACCAGTTCTCGGCGAGCCCTGTTCCTAGCTGTGCTGTCCATCACCATCGGCACGGGCATCTACGTGGGCGTGGCCGTCGCCCTCATTGCCTACCTCTCCAAGAGCAACCACCTGTGAGCTCCTTGCAGGCACCAAGGGGTCAGGGGGGTAAAGGGGAGGGGAGGGACCTGGGTCAGGACCCCTCCCTGGCTGTGCTGGACAGAGGACTGCCCATGACCCTGTGGAGCCCTGAAATTCCTGTCGTTTCTACCTTCTGATGTCATTGTCACAGCACTGTGTAGAGCACTGGGTAGATGGGCACCGCTCATCCTCCCCCACGGGAAGCTCCAAAGAGTCCCCAACCCATGCGGCTGTCCCCAAATAGATCCTGGTGGCCCAGCAACCACACAGCTCTCTGAGGCCTTGCAGTGCCTGGAATGCCACCGCATCAGCAATATACAAACAGTTTAACAAAAACAAAGCATTTATTTTTTATGGAACATGGTGCAAGAGGCAGAGGTCAGGGGAGCTGTCACTGTGCTCTGGGTAGCCTGCTTACCTCCCCTGTGTGCCCCACCCATACACACCACCACCACCCTCCCATAGACCGTGTCTGCTGGAAGAAACTGGGGCAAGAAGGAAGAAGACAAGCAATCACCTCCGTTCAAACCCAGAAGAGCATGCGACCTGCCCCAGCCAAGGAATGTGGCCTCCAGAGGAAGATGTCTCAACTAGCAGCTACCTGCAGCAATATGCAACCATAGGACCTGCCCGATCCAGGCCAGAAAGAGGTCACAGCCCAACTGGAGACTCCTGGGCATGCCAAGGGTTTCCTGTCAAACAGGACCCTTTGGGGACAGTCACCCAACGGCCATCAGCAGCGCCACTACCAATCCTACAGATGAGATGGGCCTTACTTCGTGGACTGAATGAATAGCTATTTTCTTGTCATTTTTTTAAGTGTGACTCTGCTTCACGCTGCTTATGTTATCCAATGAATGCCGAGAAAGAAGTCATCACAGGCATTTTAATACCATTTCACTGCTGTTTTACGAGTGTTCATTCTTTAACAAAAACGATCTTTTAGCTTGTTGGCTTCAAACTTTTCTTTCTGAATTACAATTCTTGGGTTGCATTCAGACCTGCCATTCTCTGTAAAGGAACCCCAGAATTCCCCCACCCCACCCCATCCCAGGACATGCCTGCTGTGACAGGTAGCAGGGTCCTCTTACAACAAGACCACAGCACCCCCAGATGCTGCCTGCTATTCGTACCTGCCATCGGCCCCTGAGTTCTCAGAGGATGCCTAGACCCCCTCTTAGTTTGACCTTGGTTCCACCCACAGCTCTTAACAAAATACTGATCCCTGAGTGCCAACCCAGAAACCCTGACTTTACTTATCCAGGATTGCAGACTGTGTGACAGAGGTTGACAGGGGCTGTCCTGGGGCCAAGGGTATAGATTTGATTCCACCCTTGACCTTGAGCATTTCAGTTAGTTCTGAAAATGGTGAGCATAGTCCAGTGGATCAAACCCCTACATCCAACTCACATTTGTCCTTCATGGATGATCCAAAATCTTACTCTAGGAAAAATACATGGAAGGAGCCGGTGACCGGCAGCAGAGAGCCATGGTTTGGGAATTTGAATCCAGTTGAGCTATTCTCTAGCTGTGTGATTAGACTAATGTCTACACCGCTCTGAACCTTGACCCTGGAAAATGCCCTGGGTGACAGGGCACAGCACTTGGCATGTGTCCACTGGATGGGGTGGCCATGGTTGCTGAGTCCATGGTTATTTTGTGTCTTCGCCTCTTTCCACCCCATGTCTTGGGGTTGGCTCATTCGCCATGTGGAATGGGCTATTTCAAATCTGTCCTGAAATGACCCATCGCGAGCCCTTGGTGAGGACATAACACCCATCTCAACATGCTCACCTCCACTTCCTGCAGCTGCCCTCACTCAGCCCCACGTGCTAGGCATTCTGCCTCCTGCTAGAACAGCAGTCTGTCTTCCAACCTCAGTCTTTCTCAACGCTACAGCTTCCATTTGCAAAAGGTCAGTCCTCACTTCAACTCGAAGCCAGGCGCCAGACAAGACCATGTGGGCACCATATTGGTGTGCACAGTGAGTACAAGCATCAAGACCCAATAGCTCATATTGGAGGTAGTCAGGCGGCAGGCATGGCTGCCCTGTGATACCCTTGGCCCAGGCGGGAGGAGAGGGCCCATTCACCCTGAGTGATCCTGTTATTGGCCTCAGCCTCTCTGTATGCTCAGGGTGCCCGTGAGTTTCCAGATCAGCACCACAGTGGGTGTACCCACCACTGGCTGGGCTGTGCCCTGGGGACTGGACACATGCTGGTTCATGTAATCTTTCTGAGAATAGAGGGGACAGAGAAGGCAGCATCCCAGTACCATGTGAGTGGCCACATGTGCACTGGGCCTGCCCTGGGCACTGGACACACGCTGGCTCATGTAATCCTTCTGAGAACAGAGAGGGCAGAGACGGGAGCAGGCCAGCTACATGTGAATGGCCACATGTGCACACTGGGATCCACTGATGACACTAGCCAGAGCCAAGCCTTGCATTCCACACCAACTCACAGAAGCCTGAAATCTTTCCCCCCCAGTTCATGCTGGAAACACCCAGTGCACAAGTGACCCTGCCCATGTCCTGAACCCAGGAAACAGCAAGATGAATATATAGCCCCAGTCCCAACTACTATTGCATTTCTGTCCCACCTTGGAGTTCTGCAGGATTTGTCACCTTTGGTTCAGATCAGCTTGTCGGTGGATCTCTTGAAGGCATGGAAGAAATTCTAGTTTTCATTTCATACCCCGTCTCGGTCAACAGAAAGTGGAACAAGATGAGGAGCCCGGGCTGACTACTTCATTGAAAATGACATCTGGACAAAAGCTTGTACAAGTGACCCCCTCCCATACCCCAAAGTTACGCATGGTGCCCCAGCCTTCACCAGCCTCACCCCCTCTCTGCTTTCCCTACTTCACTCAGTAACCCTGAGTTTACCAGGTGTATCCGGCCCCTCAGGTGTCCCCAGTGAACCCATGCTACCAGATGTGTCCATCCCTGCAGGCACCACAAACACACCAGATCTTTCCATGAAGTCCCTGGATGCAACTTACTTGGCCAAGTGTCATAATGTACCCAGAAACCCCCAACCATCCCCCAGACATACAGCCCCCAAGAGGTCACACAGAAGCCCCATGGCTCGCGAGGATCAGGCCCGCTGACAACAGAAGCTGCCTCTCCCAAGCCTGCTGGGAGCATCCCTCCTGTCCTGTCCTGCTGGCCCTGCCAGGTGGGGGCCTCCCTCCTGTTCTGTACCAGTGGGCCCTGAAGCTAGAGGCCTTAGTGTGAAAGCGCTCAGTGGGACAGTCTCTCCCTGCCCCTCTGGGTCCAAATGCCAAGTGGTCAGGACTCCGCATTCACAGCCCATCTTTGAGACTGCGTAGTGGCTAAATTCCAGCCCTTGGGAGGGCATTTGTGAGTCCTGTGTTTTTCTTCAAAGGTTGTCTACCTCCATCGCCCTTGGTGGGTTGAATGTGTGCTGATCTGATGGGCGCACAACCTAGTGGGTGTCAACTCAGACCGAGGCTGAGGTTGTCTTCTGTCCCACCTCCTGTCCTAAGGTCCCTCTGCCACCAGCACATTGGAAAAGTCAGCAGGAGCCAGCAGCTCTGAGAGGTTTTGGCTGGGATGACCCTTTTCCCAGGAGCCCTCAATTCTGATCTGTCCCCTCCCCAGCCAAGTTGCCTTTTGCAGGACTCTGCTTGGCAAGCAGTGGAGGAAGCCCAACCCAGTAGAGGAAGAGAAACCCCCGGGACCTGCAGAGGGCTGGCTGCCAGCCAAACAAGCTTGTAAATCAGTAGGCCATGTGTCAGCCAGCTGAGTTCTCAGCAGGAAGCAGCTCTCCAGGCAGGACTAGGGTGGAAGGACAGAAAGACTGAACTGCATTTAGGACATAGCTGGACTTAGGGTTATGCCTGAGGGTTTATCAGAATTTGTCGCTGCTGCTGTGGCTACCCTGGGTTTTGTTTCCAAAAGCCTACAGACAAGGATAAATTTAAATATATTTTTTCATTTCATTTGCGGGGCAGAAGGACAAGAGGGAATCTTTCAGGGGGTTTGTTCCCCAAATGGTTTCAACAGCTGGATCTGGGAAAAGCAGAAGCCAGAGACCTGGAGCTCCATCCTAATCTTTCGTGTGGGTGACGGGACCCAGGCACTTGAGCTGTCTTCTCCTGCATTCCCAGGGGCATTAGCAGGACACTGAGCCAGGAGTGGAGAAGCCAGGACTTGAACTGGCAGCTCTATGGGATGCTGGTGTCATAGCAGCGGCTTTACCCACTGCACTGCAGCACCAGCCCCCAGGACAGATTTCTTGAAGAAATCCTCAAACACCAGGTTGCACCTGAGTGCAGGTAGGCTGGAACCTCAGCGTTCCTCCTTACATGCTGTGAAGGAGGCCATTTCCCACACTAACAGGACTGTGCCCGGTGGAGTCCCCACACCCACTGTGAGTGCTAATGGGTGAAAGTCACCAAGAGCTGGCCCACCCCAGGGCCTGCCTCGCACTGCAGGTGAGCCCATGCTTGTTCATGCCCTGGCAACTTGTCCATCCACATCCAGGCCTTCAACACCTCCACACTGCAGAGTCCAATCAGATGCAACCAAAACCCTCCCTGGGCATGTGCACTCTAAGCACATAGGGTCCCAAGAGCACAGCTGGGACATGCACCCTGAGGTCACAGCTAATGCTCTTTGGCTCCCATGGCTGCCATCCCTGCAACGCTGACTGTCACTTAGACCTCTTTACTGAGGAGCCACTGGCTCCAACGCAATGAGTTCATAATGAGCTTGAGTTAACCTAACCTGGGCCAGAGAGGGTGGTTCATGTGTATGGCTTTAGCCCCTGGACATGCACCCAACCACGCAGACATTGTCTGAGTACAGGGTGCCCTGCACATCTCCGGGCAAGTCCTGAGGAGTGTGTCCCTGCCCCCCAACTCTCTAGGATGCTGTGCCCTGCTTTTCACTGGAATCAGATCATCTGAGACCAATCTGAAGGCATACAGGGCAAGTAGATCTGGATAGACAGACACATGGAGATGGATGA